GAGCATATATTGATGAGCTTACCTGAATAAGCTCTTCTATTGTTTTCTCTCACACATTGTAGAATGGCGAAGATTTCTGTCTGGAATACGGTTGAGTGTTTACCCAAGGAAAAGGATAAGCTTACCCCTGTTCTTTCCCCAAATACTCCAGCTCCTGTTCCTTCAGCGGTCTTTGACCCGTCTGTATACCAGGTTAGTCCATCCTGAAGGAATGTTGTATCTGTCCACATTCTTCGATCCATTTTATTCACCTCGAATGGTTTGTGGTAGTGATAAAGAGGGGTCATTTGGTCCAATCTCATTTGCTGTTACGGAATACTACATTATCACCATTCGCTTCGGCATTAAAATGCGTGTAAGAGTGCAAAAGTTTTAGAAAAACGGTTTACCAATGTTCTTAAAAATAAACAAAATAAATTAATTACCTTTTCGAGGGTCTGTAACTTCTTTGGGAAGCATTTTACGGCTTTTTCTTTTATTTTTATCTATAGAATCACCCACCAAAGTTAAATATACTCTTTTTTGAAACCCTGTATATATAACAACCATAATTATATATAAATTTTAAAATCTATTGCAAAGTTGAAAAATCAAACGAGTTCAGTTAAGTATAAACTCACACAAATTTAGCTTTACCTCCCTTATTTCTCATTAGAAGAGGTTTGTGACCCGTTTATCAGCGGAGAATATGGAAAATCACGACTTAACTTACGATATTAATACAGTGCGCGACTGGATGTGTTGGATCATTAATCTCAAATTAATGTTCGCTTAATCCAGAAATTAAACGGCGGATACGGATTAAAGGCATGGAATACGGGGAATGAACGCTAGTGGGAATTCTCACTATACTGAAAATAGATCCATGATTATTATTTGATTGATTATTATAATGTAAAATAATTTACAATGTTATTAATTAGGCAAAATATAGTTCTTTCGCCGTAGTTGTTTTAACAATATTTCGATGTTTGGCATAAAAACAAAAAGTTTCGTGATATTGGGCTAATGAATTACTATCTATACAGGGTGTTCCTTAATGATATTATGCTAATATTTAAGGAGGTGATTCTTAGACCTATTCTAAAGAAAAATACTTCATATGAATAATGTCCTAAACATTTTAACTTTTCAGATACATATTGGTAAAATTCTCTAGTTTTTTTAATGCCTCTTATGTTATATTTGATACACGTTTTCCATGCATCAAAATACTTATTTTGAGAATTGTTTTATTTCTTAATTTCTTGCCAGCCGATGCAGAAATGACTTCCACACAACAGTCACTACATCAGATTTTCCGCGATTTGACCCTGAAGTAAATTGACGAAAAAATCAAGAGATAAAAAATGTTTCGAAATGAATGGAAATTTTGAAAATAATATTTATTTTAAGAGAAGTCAGTGGTGTACTACATTTTTCTTCAAAAATATTCATATATTAGATCACGAGACCTATAAATTTAATCGATTAAACTATTCAAATATATTTTGCGCGTGATTTTGCTTGGAAAATAGTTGAATACACAATAATTTAATAAATTTATTCTAAAATTATTGTGCATGAAACTATTTTCTAAAAAGCAATATTATGGAAAAATTTATTTGGGTAGTTTAATCAATTAAATTTATAGGTTGAGTGATATACGGCTAGATTATTTCTGGAATGACTTAGAAATGAAGCGAATGACTTAGGATAAAGCATATAACTATAAGAATTTTATTAACTAGAAAATTTAACATTTACGGGCAACATTTTTTTTACAAACAACAAATTCTAAATTTAAAATAAAATTTAAAGACGTTTCAAAATGACGTCTCGTAAGTAATGTTTGTGCTTCTGCTACCTTGGTTACGCATCCCAATAATGCATAGAGGACCGTTCATGCCCTAGACACTCATTGGTAATTTTATAGAACTACAAATTTAGTTTCTGCCGCATCGCCAGACGGCGCAAAAGATATTAAAGTACAGGTTTCTAATTTATATATGAAGATGACATGACAGTCTCTATGTTAACTACTGTCTATGGTCTAGTTTTTGTCTAGTTGACAAAATGTTGGTGATCCGTCAAGTTATTTCTAAATCATTATTTAAATAATTATTAATTCAGATATTCCTGATTTGTCGGAAATTTCCTTAGATTAAGAAGAAATTTCAGTGATTTCAGTGATTTGTGTTTATAGTTTGTGTTTTTATTAGTTTGTGCCTTCTGATATTTACAGTCGATCATCATTTTCGTGTTAGATACTAAACATTTTTATTAAAGTCATTTTGACATTTTAGAAATGATAAATTTATGAACCAAATAAAAAATTAATTTAATCATAAATAAGTAAGTACATAGTTGGTAATATATAGTACTTTTAGTAACAGTTAATAAGTAGTCTATAATATTTTTTACTATATTATAATTTAGTTGTTAAATCAAAAAAAATAGGCGCTATGTGATCTATTGTTGGTGTTTAAAATGTATTATGTATTCATACTTTTAATTTTGTTTTAATTATGTTACACTTCTAATGGTCTAATAAAACATAAAATGTAGTAAAACAGTCTATATTTATTATTTTATATTTTACAAGGAATAATTTTGCGCTTGAATAACGTTACCGTTTTAGTTAGCGTTAATAAATAACGGAGCGCTAAAATTCGGTTATGCCAAAACTCTCCATTAGTTTCTTCCGGATCACCAGGTGGCTCTAAATGACGGACCCATTTGTTTTATATCAGTGTCCAATCTATCTCTAGTACGTGACGTTAGTCTATGGGACCGTTTCGCATGTCAACATATCAAATTCTGACGTATTTTTTTCCACTTATTTGTTCAAAATACTGTCGAATAAGGAGTTTTCACCGATTAAAATCGTTATTAAGTCATACATATGAGTTGTAAATCAATGTTTTTAAATGAACTGTTGCCAAAATATCTCAGAATTAGTGATAAACGACAAAAAGAAAACCCAAAAGGAAGCCGAAAAAATAATCGCGGAACAGATTAGCTGATTAATCCATTTTACGATGAGGGAAATAATCAAAGTAAAATCCGTATGTACGACACTTGTTGAAATAAATAAAATTCTTTTTAAAGGTATTTTGATGCATAGAGGACGCGTATTAAGTTTCATAAAGATAGAATCACTGTTATTATGAAAAAAAGTTTTTATTTTTAAAATGTTACCACCCCTGTATCTCAGAAATTAAGATTTCAGGTTAAACCAAGAATCACCCCCTTAAATATTAGCATGTCAATAAGGAACACTCTGTATACCAGGTATCTCTCGAAAGTGGTTCTCCGCTATACCTTTTTTATTTTATTTTTTCTGATAAATAAACGAGATTTGATACATTAGTATATGACAAAACTCAGGATTGTTTGAGGTATTCAATTGTTTTCGGTCACTTTTTCATTGTTTCACAGGAACTGACTACAATTTTGAATTTTTAAACGACACCCTCGGTATTTTTTTACTTTCTTCGTTAGAAAGTGACGAATAGAATGAGATATGTAAACTATTGCGGGACATCGCTTAAAAAATCGTATTTTAAATTTCAATCTAGAGTGCCAAGGCTGTGTTAAAAACACTAATTTTTAATCAAGGAGCCTTGGAAAAATACTTTTGGTTGTCTAGTATTTCTCATGTCTTGTACTGGCTGGTTCAAATCGTATTTTTTTAAACATAACTCACTTTTTTTCAACTGGACCATTAGCATATTTGGAAAAAGCATTTTTTCCGAATAATTTAGTACTACACGCTTAATATTTCGAGCTAAAATGTTATTATGAACCGCTTAATACAATTTCAAATAAACCATAATGTGAAAATGTCAAAAGTTGACACGTGCTGATATCATTCTATACAGAGTGTCATTTTTTATCGAACAAAGTAAAAAAAGGCCGAGGATGCATTTACAAATCAAAAGTTGTAGTCATTTCCGGTGAAACAGGAAGTGACCAAAAACAGTTTTGAATCCGTCAGTCAATCCTGATTTATGTCATATACTAATGTACCAAATCTCGTTTTTTATTTGAAAAAATAAGAAAGTTATAGGGGTGATAAACACCCGGTATTTTATTATAATTATGACTGTGCCAAAACATTATAAACTAATCTTATAGAGAGTTAAAGGAATTTTAAAACTTTAACTTTTCCATTATTATACGAAAATATGTTTTCGTTTCAAATAAAATGGTTAGATAAGTTTTCGTATCTGACAAGAATATATTTGATATTTCTATGTTGCATGTCGACAAGGTATAAGTTATAACCATTGTTTCCGAGAATAATAAGCTTATCCTGTGCATTGCTGTTCCCTGAAACAATGGAAGCAATATGGATCTCGTCTTCATTTCCCTAGGACTAATTTCGTTTGTTAAAGCAAACCAGACATTTCATAGCAAAATGTTTTATTCAATGTTCTTTATTTTTGATTTAAAAGAATCCTGACCTATATCAACTGACTTCTGAAAAACTATACCTTGTTAACAGTATTTTAAAATCGTCGATCTATACCCTTCTGAGATTTAATATACAGGTTGTGTCTTATATAGGCAAGTGTAAATATTTTCAGAGTTGGTAAATCTCGATAAAAGAAACATATTTTCCCTTTACCGTTTTTCGAATAAGTCCAAATTAACTGAGTTAGTTTACTTTGAACATTTACAAAAAATTATCCTTGCTCAAATTGTGAGAACCATTGGATCTTAAAAATTAAAAACAAATTCAATTTTTTTTTCAATGGAACAAAAATTTCAAAAAAATAAAGAAAAGCCAAAAGAAAATGGATGTTAATGAATTGACATATTTTGCTGTCATAAATGGCATAATAATTGCTGATCGCTCCGTACAAATTTGACATATTTTACCTGCTTTACACATAACAAATTTTTATAAAGCAATATATTATTTTCTATTTTCACATAATATAACATTTCCATTATATCTGTTTCAAACGTGAATCAGGAAGATTAATCTAATAAATATCTTTATCCTTTTTCAGATTCACTCAAATGAGATCTCCACAGAAGAAACCCTACTGAAGAAACTCAAAACAAAATGCTACAACGGCGACTTCTCCCCCTGCATGATCTTCCTGGCAGTCAGTTACTTCAACGACATGTTGAAGAAACCCCAGGCCGACTTTGGAAGCGTGGAAATCACCAAAAACACCAACTCGATCATCCCAGAAACGTCCAGAAGCTTGAAAGATATGGAACATCTGTCGGATGAGGCCAAAATCAGTCAACTCATGGCAGACAAACTGTACAATTACGTTAAATCTAGGTCGATGAAATGGCATGTAAGTTATCCATTTTGACAACTCAAAATATACACATTGCTACGCACTCCTAAACACTGGATGGCCTTGTACGATGGTTTAAAATTGATCAGTTTTAATCATCTGCTTATCCGCGCATCCAGTGTTTACAAGTAAAGTGTTCTGGTGCACCTGTAGTGAATTAGTGATTTATTTTGCTGTTATAACACCAAAAGTTCCAACCTCAACTGTAATCTCCAGATATTAGATAACTAAAATAATATAATTATTATCAATTCTAATAAAAGCCATCTAAAAATACTGTAATACTAATAATAGAAGAAATTTTCACTACAAAAAACGCAGTAATTTCATAAGAATACCCTATATTCTTATGACAGCATGAATCTTAAAAATTGACAATGATGGCTATTGAAATATTTCCAAAAACTGTCAGAAATTATGTTGGCCTTGTATGGGTAAATACTGATGGACTGTCAGTCATAGATAAAGGAAACAAGGACATGTATGAAATACCTATGAAACATTGGAAAACGATGTTATGCCTTGATCCACGATGGTTTTTGCAGTTCACACAGCTTTTTAAGCTTTTAATGCCACTTTTTTCTTACAACTATCACGGGTTTGAGTAAATAAAATTTAAATTAAACTCACAAGATAGCAATAATTGCTTTGAAAATGGACGCTTTAAACACTTTTCGGGATTTTTTACGGGGAGCGGTTTACATTTTGGAAGATTCTATAATTTTTGAAGATTCTGACTTTGACAAGAGAAAATTATTTCTATTCTTGTTTGGCGGTTGGTCTTCGCACCCGCTATAGCCCTATAACGTATACACTCCAAAACAATTATAAGTTTTGGCGGAACGCTGAGCATTCCTACCTAAACTTGTTTCCTTTATCTATGCTGTCAATATACAGGATGATTCATGAGAAATGTCAATACTTCAGGTTCATACTCAGAGCTCAAAAATTAACATAAAAGTACATATAAATACATGTGCGCAAGGCTTTCGTTTTCAAGATATAGAGTTATACAGAAGACAAAAAAATTCCGAAGCTGATTTCCAAAAAGAAAATTTTGTCACATCAAGCTATGGAGGCGCATAAAATAAATTATGCTCTAATAATCTAGTTGGCGAAAATATGGAATTTTGTGTTAATATCGCAAATTATAATTGACAATAAGCTTCATAAAAAGCTTAAAAAAATTAATAAATTTTAAATTAATTAATGTTAGGGTTTATTTTTTATTGATACATACATACATACTGCCATTACTCGCTGGCAAGTATTTGACACGCATCAGAAGATGGTCACGCAAGGCGTTTTCCTTCATGAGCTTTTCTGTGACTGAAAAGCCCGATACGTGATGTTATCTGTCTACCGCACTCCAGACATTCAAAAATCTCATTGCTTTGTTGCCTCTTTACTTTTTGGTTGTCGCTGTTAACTGATTTTACAATTTTTCTCCATTCCGTTCTATTGTGAGCTGCTTTTTCCCACTCATTCTGCTTGTTAATACCCTTTAAGTTTTCGTGGAAAATATCCTTGTACCTTTTGAGTTGTACACCCGGCCTCCTTTTACCGTCTATAAGCTCACCGTAAAACAGAGATTTAGGTATGCGGTTTTCTTGCGTTCTGCATACGTGACCAGTCCATCTTAAGCGGGACTTTCTAATCATGACTTCAATACTCAAGCAGTTAGCTTTTTCAAGGACCGATACGTTTGAAATATGATGGAACCATTTTATTTTTAAGAAGTTGGGTCTAATATATCTGTTGCAACTTGTTTAATGCGATCATGTGTCGGCGGTACGGCACCCAGGTTTCGCTTCCATATAACATGGTGGGAATTATTATTGCTCGGTACACTGCAAGTTTCGTTTTTGTGCTCAAGTCATGATTGTAGAAAATCCTGTCTTTTAATTTCCAGAATGCTCTTGAGGCGCTGCTAATCCTGTGTTGAATTTCAGAGTCGATATTGGCCTTTTCCGAAATCAAACTGCCGAGGTCATTGAATTTCTCTACATATTCAATAGTCCCGATTTTTATAGCATTGTTGTGATCTTCCGGGGGAGTGCACATGATTTTAGTTTTATTGATGTTCAGCTTAAGTCCCAAAGCCTCGTATGCCCATGTATATGTGTTCAACATTTCTTGCAATTGCTGTAACGTATTTACAACTAGAGCACAGTCGTACATGTACGTACAACTAGCACATGTACGTACAACTAGAGCACAGTCATCAGCGTATTGAAGTTCTGTGATGAATTTTGTACGTGTTTTTGTCCTGAGTCTTTTTATGTTGAACAGACCGCCGTCGTAACTGTATCTAATGCCCAAACCCCTCTACTGCAGTTTGCTGTCCACTATAATGGAGAGCGCTGCCATGAATATATTGAATAGGAGAGGCGCTAAGACACATCCCTGCCTAACGCCTGTGTTTGTTAGGAAGGGATCGCTTAGTGATCCATAATATGACACCCTTGATTTGTTCTTGTTATGGAGGCTTTTACACATTGTAAGAAATTTGTTGGGTAGTCCGAACTTTTTCATAATTGCCAAAAGTGCATCTCTGTTGACAGAGTCGAAGGCTTTTGTTAGATCGATGAATGCAACGTAAAGTTTAGACTGCTGTCCTTTTACTTTTTCCTGATGTTTATTGATGCCCTCTAACGGACAAACGAATCACTTTTATATAAAGGTAAATTATGTGCAATAACTTATTCTGATTCAAAAGATACTATGTCCACGGAATATTAGGACACCTTGTATAGTGAGAGATTTATATACTTAAAATTATAGATTTTATTAAAAAAATAGAAATATCTCAGAAATCAAAGCCTTGTGGAAACATATTTATATGTATATACCGTATGACTGAAAAAAACGGCGTCCAATTGGCTTGGAAATGAACATCAATGACATTCCCCATATAATTTTACATATAAAATGACATCGTTCTTCATTCCATACCATAGCCATCGCTGACGCAGTTTTTTTTCGATCATACAGTGCTTTTTTATACTATTTTTTTCCTCGGGTATCATCACCCTGTCAAAATATTATCCGGAACATGTTTTCCAATTTGCTTTATTTAGTTAGAATAATAGTAATAAGCAATATACAAATTACTAATTTTCATGAATTAACAACATATAAAAACATAATATACCTCGACAACAAATAATGAAGAATATCCATAAATACACCCATAAAAACATTTCGGATGTGAGTGATCTTCTATAATATATCGTTACAATTTGCTGAATGACCATATAAAGAAAACAAATTGCCCGGAATATGTATTTTTCCTTTTTTTTATCCGTAATAAACTCCACAATAAAGAAGAAGATCGTTCAGATAAAAACGCAAATTAATGGCTTGTTTCTATGGTCATAACGCACCACTTGAACAATATCTTTTAATTAAGAGATTTCGTATACTTGGTTTAATTAATGATACTTCAACATACAAACTAAACCATCTGTCATGGTGTTTTTTACTATTTGACAATGAGGTCTACATCTAATTATCAATTATATTATTACAGCTTTCTTTTCTATAAAAAAAAAACATCTGGTTGTAAAGAACCTATTTTAGTAGGTTGTCCATATTTTGCAATATAAATCTTTGGGGCCACTAAAACGATTATTATATTTAAACTTATTTTAGGTACAACCTTTATATTTTGTGCTTTCTTTTCATACTCATATAACATCTACATTTCATATAACAACTTTTCATTCTCATATAGTATCTCCATATTCAGTAGATACAAATAAGATAATAAAAAAGTTCGTATAAATCTATATCTTAAAATGCTTGGTTTCAGAAATACAAATTTCTTTTTTTAACAACATACAAGTTTCTTTTTTCCAACCAACCAAATCAAATCTATTTTCAGTGGTTTTGTAGAATGCCTAATGAAAACTAGTCAGATTGCACAAAATATTTTACTATTGGTAAAACTCACCTAAAATAATCTCAAGACATTACTTGAACTTCCCTTTCAAAATGAGGAAATAATGGCACAAAAAGTGATAATTCTGTTAAATAGAGTATGGTTCAGGACGATTATTATAAAGATCTAAATTTTATTCTAAAAGAATAAAAGTTCCAAAAACAGAAAGCAAAGTTCCACAAAGAAGCAGCCCTGTACACAGAATTGAATCACAGAGTATAATAATTAAATGAGATATTAATATTAAGGTTTTAATATACAGGGTGTTTGAAAACAAATGCGAAAAACTTCAGGGGGTGATTCCTTGTTAAAAATAAAGGGTAGTTTGCTTTATAAATGTTGGGTCAAAAGTCAATCATTAGGGAGATATCGCAGTACATAGATGGCGGAAAAACAATGTTTTTATTTTTTATCTTGAAAACGAAAACAGATAGACTAATGAAATTTTATGGAAGCATTACTGTTATGAAAACACACTTTCTGGTAATTTTTTTACTTTTTTAAAATGAGTGAAAGGGGTTGAAATAAACTACCCCTATCATTCTTGTTAACGAAATTTAAAGAAAAATCGTATCAAATACATGCAAAAAAGTTAATTTGGATAGTTCAATTTATTTAGCAACTTTTTTATCTCTTGTGTTTTTTTGATAAAAGTCACCGATTTAAAATTAAAAAATAAAATGTAAAGCATTACGTGTCAGGGCAGAAAACATTTTTAGATAAAGAAAAAAGGCTTTGGAATAATTAATTGATCGTAAGATAATAACGTATTGCAGTAGAGTAATGTCAAATAAAATAATATTAGAAACATCCTAAAAAGTGACAACCTAACCTAACCTAACCTACTAGATTCTTTATCTAAAAATGTTTTCTGTCCTGACATGGTAATGCTTTACATTTTATTTTTAATTTCAAATCGGTGACTTTTATCAAAAAAACACAAGAGATAAAAAAGTTTCTAAATAAACTAAACTATCCAAATTAATTTTCTTGCATGTGTTTGATAATATTTTTCTTTAAATTTCGTTAACAAAAATGATAGGGGTAGTTTATTTCAACCCCTTTCACTCATTTTAAAAAAGTAAAAAAATTACCAGAAAGTGTGTTTTCATAACAGTAATGCTTCCATAAAATTTCATTAGTCTATCGTTTTTCGTTTTCAACATAAAAATTAAAAACATTATTTTTCGGCCTTCTTTGTACCGCGATATCTCCATAATGGTTGACTTTTGACCCAACGTTTATAAAGCAAACTAGCCTTTATTTTTAACAAGGAATCACCCCCTGAAGTTTTTCGCATTTGTTTTGAAACACCCTGTATATTTTGTATTTAAAATTATGTTACTTATAATTGTAATTTATGAAATAGGGTTCAAGTTGTTTTCGTTTAAACAAAATAAAATTTTGACATAAATTATTGTTTTTGTATATGAAAATATGGGGTATTTTTATTAATTTATTTAAGCGTTAATTATTCAGTATGCTTATGCTCATAGCTGACTAAACTTTCATCATATTTTAATCTGAAAACAGGCACTCTTTTTGCAGAAGTGTACAGAAAATATCGCCATTGTTTAATATGCTTAATTCTGATTAGGTTTTTTGCAAAGTTACTGAAGATAGATAGGCTTTTTGTAAAAATTCCTTCTTTTGTTTAAAAAGCCAGCGTTTGATAATATGCCTAGTCTTTTTGCAAAAAGCCAATTTATTCTATGCGCCTGCTACGTGTACAATATTTTTTTATATCAAACACAAAAAGAACTTTAAACTTTAGAGGCATTTAACACACTTTTTTTATTTATTTATAAAACAAAATATCTAGGGAATATTGGAGGTTTTTGAGTTGATAAAACTAAAAGCTACATTAAATCATGATAATAAAATGCTATTACTTTAGGTTACCGATGATGCTGACTTGGTTGTCAGTGGTCGCAGTGACGCAAGCGGCGGACTCAACCTTGGCATTTCCCTCCAACCCAACGGTGCCACTGAAGAAGGTCGTAAGAAGAAAGACCAAGGAGGTAACATGAACGGACTGATCGCCGCCGCCATCATGAAAATCGGTCTCCTCAAAGCTTTGGCTTTCAAAGCTCTGGTTCTCCTCGTCGGAAAAGCAGTAATCGTCAGCAAGGTAAGCTTAATAATCTCTCTTCAGCTCCTCGCCCAACACGAGGGTATAGTGGCATCAGAAATTGTTTCTACCGTTGTATTCAATTCTGATTCTCCTAAAAAATTTCTCTTATTTGAGCCCATATATGTTTTATACCACTTGTTGTGTACTTGTAAAACTTGTGAAACACTGATGACACACATCGCAAGTACATGCGAGAGGTAGCCGACGCTCTATATAGAGTATGGCACTGTAAGAAGAAGATATTTTATAGTTGTGCCGATTGTAGCTATTTTTTTGTTCCAAATTGTTGTTTAATCTTGTAGTCCCATTTTATAATAGGATGCCTCCTCGAGTCTTTTACGTCTCTCGTATATCAATATATAATTTTCATTGTCCGTCTTTCATCAGTTCTACTTGCTATGTGTCCTGTCCATTGCAATATGAGGAATATATTTCTTAAAAAATAACGACTGTTATCTGGTTCTTGTATCTTATTCAATATATCCTGTTGTGATACCACTGTGTTATTCCAAATCTACCTACATTAATTTATAGATATTTGTGTTACCAAGAGATTCCTTATGAATTCTTGTTTAAAAGCATATTTTTTGCAACCATATGCCATAGCTGGTAACGTCATCTCTTGTCATCTGACAAAGTTCCATTCTTGACTTGAATGAATGGTTATGGAATTCCTCTCCAATATGTCACAAATATACTACATATATTATATATACTGCCATTACTCGCTGACGAGTATTCGACACGCATCAGAAGATGGTTACGCCAGGCGTTTTCCTTCATGAGCTTTTCTGTGACTGAAAAGCCCGACACGTGATGTTATCTGCCTACCGCACTCTGGACATTCAAAAATCTCATTGCTTTGTTGCCTCTTTACTTTTTGGTTGTCGCTGTTAACTGAGTTTACAGTTCTTCCCCATTGAGTTCTATTGTGAACTGCTTCTTCCCACTCATTCTGCATAATTATGCCCTTTAAGTTTTCGTGGAAAATGTCCTTGTACCTTTTGAGTTGTTCACCTGCCCTACTCTTACCGTCTACAAGCTCACAGTAAAGCAGAGATTTTGGTATGCGGTTTTCTTGCATTCTGCTTACATGACCAGCCCATTTTAAGCGGGATTCTATATATAAAATTGCGTCACAAATAATGTTCTATTTCGATACAAAAAAGTAGCAATTCATGTAAAAACATATATTCTATATATTAATATATTAACATATTCTTTATGAAATATCTAAAAAATCTAGTAACGATTTACATAGATATGTTAAAATTTAACTACGGGTAAATAGAGTCGAAGTTACTTCATTAATTAACTTTCAGATTAATTAAATAAATCACAAGAATTAGTGATATAAACTTTCATACAGCTTATAAAAGAATAGTAGTAGTGAATTCTGAACTAGCTTGTATCGATTGATATCGAATTTATTGTCATCAATAACCCAAGAACAACTTTGTTCGACAAGAAGCTCTATCCTATCAGAGTTGCCCAAACTTGTTTCCAAGTGTAAAATTTAAGCGCCTGTATTTCCACTGCCCTCAGAATTATCCCAAAGTTTCTCTAGATTAGTTTCTGTTTAGTTATCAATCTATAACTTACTTTTGAGATCTATATCTACTGCTATTGAATATACTTATTCAAACGAGGAATTTGGACAATTTTCTGAAGCTTGTAACTAACAAATCAATTTTTTAATTTACAATTTTAATCCAAAACTTAAAATTTTAAGTCGTTTATTTATATTATTTTAGTATTAATTGAATATCCAATACTAGCAACTTATATCAAAGATTAATACTAATAGTTTAGGCAACCAGATAAACTGCTGAGAAAAGCATGCGCTGCTTAATGTAGAAGAGAAAGCACAGCAGGTGACTTTAAACTATTTATTACATTCATAAATAAGTTTCTTAATGGTCCGAGAGAAGGCAGCAGCATGCATCTGATAAATTTAACAAGTGATTTGAATTGACTTCAATTTTTTCTACAAGTTATTGCTTTTCTGATAGAACAGTGTAATTAGTAAGGCACATAAACCTAAATATATAGCGTAGAAGAGAAAGTCTTAGAAGTAACTTAATTTTTTGTCTTCTGTGGTGCAGTATGTTCCCGGATTGTCTTTACAAAAGGAAAGAAACACTTTTTTATTATTGACATTTTGAGAAAAGTGCATTTTTTTAAATATTTGCTTGTTCTAAAATGGTTAATCCCGTTTGTGCTTTTCCAAATTTCCATACCGTTTTAGAGGAAATTAAAATAAACCTGAAAATATAGTTGAATTGTATTGTTATTATAATGTTACAAATCAAGATGCGTTTCTATGGTAATTTAATTTCGTTTTCATTCTTAGATAGATTTTTATTGATAGAATTTTAATTAAAGTCAGTTTTTTCTGTTTTAAAATGTTAAATAAGCTCAAAATTTATTTAGTTCAATGCTACGGAAAGGGAGATAATAGTTATCGGAAAATGTGATCCTTTAACAACAGCAAAACATATTACACGTTAATCAAAACTATTAATAACCATCTATTGAAGAACGAAATCGAAATTATATTACGATAGAAACGCCTTTTGATTTCTGGGACTTAAAAAATTTAACAATATTTTCATGTTTTTATTATTTTCTTTTCCTAAAACGGTATGCAAATTTAGAAAACTATAAACGGGATTAACCATTTTAGAAGAAACAATTTTTTTTTATGAAAAATGCATTTTCCTCAAAATGTCAGTAATAGAAATGTAGAATGTTTAGGAGGGGAGTTAATCACCGCGACCTTACAGATCTCTATTGTGTGTTCCCCTTTCTTGAGTTATAACAAGTTATAACTCATTACGCAGTCTCAAAGCTTTGACAAAAGCCAGTATCTGAGATGGCTCTACAGAGGCCAGCTCTCCATCCTCGACATCAGCCGTACCAAAGTTCATGGCACGCTTTAGTCTACTGAGGTGTTCGTTGAGGAGACAGGTGTCCTGTCAAACCCCGTGACAATCCGGGGTTTTTTACCCCGGATTTTTTTTTAATTTTTACTAAAAAGCTTTTTTTACTTAAATCAAGGAAAACCTTTGATTTTTCTCGGTCGTAAGTTCTGAGGAACTTTTTCGAATGTCTTGTGAGAGCGTTGGAGGATTCCCATTCCAAGTTACGGATGGAGTCTTCTAGATTCTCCAGTTCCGCTTTCAGTTGGTTCCCATTTGAAAAACAGAACGGTTCTGGTCCAGTTAGTGGAGTGGTCGCTCCTTTCCTAGCTAAATCATTTGGTTATTCATTGGCCTTTATCCCTTGGTGAGCAGGCACCCAGAGTAGGAGGACTTTATTTTTTTTGCCTAATTTATTGAGTTTCTCTAGGCATTCTTTGACCAACTTCGAATTGATGGTTACTGCATTGATCGCGTTTAGTGCTGCTTGACTCTCGGATAGGATGGCAATTTCCTGTTTCCGATAGTTCCTATCTAAGATAAATTGTACGCATCTTTCGATAGCGTAAATTTCTGCCTGCAGGATACTGGAGTAGGTGCCCATTGGTTCGGAGTATTTGGTAAATGTCAGTAATAAAAAAATGTTTTCTTTTGTAAAGACAATCCGATATACAGTATGTCCCCGGATGAACAAGATATAAGAATCATTTAGATTTACAGCAAATGTTTTTTTTACTGCTATCGATGAAAAAGTTTTACATCTGTAATCAAAAAAATCTTTTAACTCTTACACCTGTAATCAAAAACAGTACAGATATAATCAAAAACAATTATGTAAAAATGACAACAAAGAAAAACAAACATAATTATTTTATTTGCTATTCTGATTGACAGTCAATAAGATAATGAAAATTTGATTGTAAATCAAGATTAAATTCACAGATTGCAATATATCTTTTTTGATTTAGAATAAATTAATGGGTTGGTACAATTGCTTTCTGATGAACTTAACGTAGCCATAACGAAGCCTTAACTTAATGATTCTTTGTTTTCAAATATTAAATTCACATTATATACTTTATAAAGACCAAAGAGAATAGTAATTCACTATGAGTAAACTTATTCTTATTTTAGTTTATAAGAAAACATACCGAATTATAGAGAAATGAAAAAGAAAGTAGGTTATATTTATACACATTTAGCAAAAAGCCTCTTCTGTCATGGGAGAAAACCATAAACTTCTACAAATCGCTTTCACTAACTTCTCTTTATATCTTTCCTTAAGTATCTCCGAAGACCAACAAGAACTCCGCTTTCTTTATCCATAAATACGAGAAAAAGAATTGAACTTCCGAAAATCTTTATACAAGAATTTTAATATTATTCTCTCGTCAGTAATATCAACGAAAAAAGTTCAGATAATGTTTTGAAATAACATGGAACATATTATTCCGCCGTAAATATGGAAATTATTTTATTATTCGTATTTATACTTGATAAAATAAAGCGTTAGAATTTTATTTCTATTTTCCTTTGTGCCTTAATATTTCCATAGTGTAATAAAACTATCCACGCAACAAATAATTTATAAATCGTTATTTTTTTGTATACGCTCAGTAATTCTTTGGTTCAATGGTTTCTCTTCCTGATGTATTATATTTTTGATAAATTATTATATTTATCATCACCATTTTCAGCTTATTCAACCATTTCCAGTTATGGTGTAGCCTCCCTCACATATTCTCTTTGTAGTTGGGCCCATTGTTGTCTATTGTTGGCTATGCGAGCCCAAGTTATCCCTGCTAATTTCCTAATATCATGGTCCCATCTCAGGTTCGGTCTTCCTCTAGGTTTCTTAATTCCTCGTTGGTACCATGCTGTAATTTTTGTGTTCCATCTGTTGTCTGTTCTTCTTGCAAGGTGTCCTGCCCATTGCCACTTGAGGGATTTGATTCAGACAATGATATCTATTACCTGGGTCTTTTGTCGTATCTACTCTATTCTTTTAAGATCTCCCTTGGTTATTTCCAGCATATTTCGTTCCATTAAACGTCGTGTGACTTGCAGTTTCCTTAT